TCTTCATCACCATTCTTATTTCTAAAACGGATCCCTGTTTTTCTGTTTTCCAGATTCGTTCCTTCAATCTTCATCTCCATAGCTTTAGGTTTGGGACTTGTTAGTAGAACCCACAATTTCTAGGAAAAACTGAAACGAATTCATTCTAGATCCATACAAACCCTTATCATAGCATATTTGTACATTTTTAGCCGAGGTCTTTTAAACCCTCCAAAAATACTTCTTCCTGAAATCCAACATCTTCATTTAAGCCGATGTCATGGGTATGTAGGAACATAGGGTAAACACCCAGGAAAAATTAGGGTACTTTAGGCAGGAGTTCGAAATCCCGGCCGATGTTCATCTGAGGTTGGCTGGGGAGGATGACTCTATTATGCCCAATGAAAACCTCATGCCTTTTCCAGTGGTTGCGTTTATTGAGTGTGGACTTAGGTTTCTACTTGACCCTTTTTTCTGTCAAATCCTTCATTTCTATAAGTTGAACCCAATGCAACTTGTCATCAACTCTTATTGAGTTATTAATGGTACCATAGCCTTAACATAACAAGAGAATGCTAGGATTACTCTTGCCGACTTCTAGTTCTGTTATACCATGTGTCGCCTGATATTAGAAAAATGTCACATTTATTACCTTAAGCCGAGGTCCACTGAATACAAAATCATTGCCGACCTTCCTGACTCCAACAAGGGAGCGGGGGATGATTACTTCATCGTCTCGGAAAATTGGGAGTTTCAGCCAAACGATGACCTTCATCTTTATCCCCTTAGTCGAAAAATTTTCGGGGAAGGAGCTGGTAAGGGCCACCCTTCACAAATTTTCTTACTTTCTTGTATAAAGTTTTCATCATTCTTTTCTAATGTCTATGCTTTTTTCTTCTTTGTAGTCTTTCCTCAGCCACCAAAGGGCTTCCGTTAGTTTTTTTTTCCCAGCAAAGACTTAAAGAAACTACTGAATTTACCAGTTCACAAGCGGAAGGCCCCTTTGCTTCTCAACTTTATCCCCACTTACAAGTCAGCTCTCCCCGACGTCCCAAAAAGAGAAGAAGAAAAGCCTTTCTCCACATTCTGCCACAACTCCACAAGTTGCGTCCACATCTCGGACAGACCAAGGATCAACCTCTGATCCAGCTGAGCAACCTTCAACCTCGGCTCCATACCTGATTCCGATATCCCAGCGCCGTCGCCGACGTCGAACAGTTTTTCTCGCCGAGATGGGCCGTCAAAGAGCCGTTGCAAAAGATCTCCTGGCCAGTACCCCCTCTAATGTCGACGCTCAGCCAACACAAACCCAGCCTCCACCAAAACAGAAAAGAATAAAAAAGGCTCAACTAAAGGCCAAGGTGACTCAGGTTGACACTGAGGACACCTTGCCGATTTCTAAATTGCACGAAAGTGACAAGTCCCAATCCGTTGCTGGGAAGAGGCATTTTGAGGCCCAGCCATCCGAATCCCCAAAATCAAAGAAGCCGAGGTCATCTTCTGCAATGACCTCGGGGTCCAAAAAACATGATGCCCCCTGGGACCCCAAAATTACCTTGGAAGATAAGCCAATCATGGCCAACGATAGCGCTGAGGACATCAACGTCGGCGTAGCCCTCAGTACTGCTCTGCTTCTCCTCGACGATCTTGACCGAAACGTTGAGTTGAGCGAGTATGAAAATTATGCTTTGATGCTTCAACGTTCCGTTCAAATAAGTATCTTCATCTGGCAACTTTTTTGTTATGTTCTTTCCACACTTGTAATTTTTTCTAACAACTTTTGTTTTGTTTACTTACAGGCCATCTAGCACGCCTATTCTTTCTCAGTTCAATCTTTTGAGAACCGTGAGAGGTTGGCCGAGATGAAGAGGGAGGTCTCCAATCTTCAAAAAGTCAACAAAAGTTTACAATAAAGCAAAAGATCTCCTGGCCAGTACCCCCTCTAATGTCGACGCTCAGCCAACACAAACCCAGCCTCCACCAAAACAGAAAAGAATAAAAAAGGCTCAACTAAAGGCCAAGGTGACTCAGGTTGACACTGAGGACACCTTGCCGATTTCTAAATTGCACGAAAGTGACAAGTCCCAATCCGTTGCTGGGAAGAGGCATTTTGAGGCCCAGCCATCCGAATCCCCAAAATCAAAGAAGCCGAGGTCATCTTCTGCAATGACCTCGGGGTCCAAAAAACATGATGCCCCCTGGGACCCCAAAATTACCTTGGAAGATAAGCTAGTCATGGCCAACGATAGCGCTGAGGACATCAACGTCGGCGTAGCCCTCAGTACTGCTCTGCTTCTCCTCGACGATCTTGACCGAAACGTTGAGTTGAGCGAGTATGAAAATTATGCTTTGATGCTTCAACGTTCCGTTCAAATAAGTATCTTCATCTGGCAACTTTTTTGTTTTGTTCTTTCCACACTTGTAATTTTTTCTAACAACTTTTGTTCTGTTTACTTACAGGCCATCTAGCACGCCTATTCTTTCTCAGTTCAATCTTTTGAGAACCGTGAGAAGCTAGCCGAAAAGAATAGGGAGGTCTCCAGTCTTCAAAAAACCAATAAAAACTTATAATCCAAGATGAAGACCTTGGAGGATTAGGTCGAGGTCACTATTAAAGCAAAAGACGAAGCTGAGGAGAAGGTTGGTGCTGCTGAGGCGATAAACAAAGTCCTTCAAGCCCAGCTGAAGGAGGCCGAGGATAAAGTGGCCCAGGCCCAAAAAGAGCTTCAAGACGCCTTGGCCACCAAAGAGGCCGAAATCAAGGACGCCGACGAGAAGGCGTATGCCCAGGGCATGGCCGATGTCACGGAGGCCTATGAAAAGCAAGTCAAGCAAGCATGCAACAAGGGTTTCTCCCTTGGTTGGATAACTTTGCTGAAGAAACTTGATGTCCTTGAGGACTCCTTCTTGAGGAACGCCGATGCCATTCCCCTGCCATTCCCTCTAACTCCATCTCCCAGTCAATCTGACAATGAATCTGATTCTGAGGATGAGGCCGATGAGGAAGTTTTGGTAAGAAAATCAAAGGAGACTACTGGGACCAAGTCCCCTTCTCTGAATGAGCAAGTCCTGGACTTGACTCAAGATGAGGAGGGTGAGGAGGTCCCAAAAGATGCTGCGGTTGAGAAGACATCGGTCGTCGTTCCCCTTGCCGACAAGAGCCTAGATGAAACTCTTGTAGAAATTGACGCCGAGCTCGCAGCGGATAAGGCTACTGAGATGTCTTCCCAACAATTGTCTGAACTTCAAACTCAACCAACTGCTACTGCTGAGGAGTCTTAGCCTTATGTTTTTCCCTTCTTTTCATGTACTTTGTTTTTCTTTTTTGAAGTACTATAAACTTCTCCACATTGCCGATGTGTTTTTAATACAACAACTCTTTTGCTTTTGAATGCTTGCATGCTTACTTTGTATGCCGCCATACTTGAAATATTTTTGCATATCTTTAATATATACTTCAATCCTCGTGCAATCTTCTCAGGGTGACACACCTCGGTTATACAAATTGATGTTTTACCTCGGCAAGTACCCAAGTACTTTTCTTGGCATAGCCTTGGTTTCATCTTGTAATTTTTTTCACAAAATTTCAATAAGTGTTTAACATTGGCTTAACTTTAACTTGTAAATTGTCCAACAATTTCAACAAGTGTTAAACAATGATTTCGGTTTAACTTCAACTTGTAAATTGTCCACAAATTTCAACAAGTGTTAAACAATGATTTCGGTTTAACTTCAACTTATAAATTGTCCACAAATTTCAACAAGTATTAAACAATGATTTCAGTTTAACTTTAACTTATAAATTGTCCACAAATTTTAACAAGTGTTAAACAATGATTTCGGTTTAACTTCAACTTGTAAATTGTCTACAAATTTCAACAAGTGTTAAACAATGATTTTGGTTTAACTTCAACTTGTAAATTGTCCACAAATTTCAACAAGTATTAAACAATGATTTCGGTTTAACTTCAACTTGTAAATTGTCTACAAATTTCAATAAGTGTTAAACAATGTTTTCGGCTCTCTCTGCCCCCTCATGTGAACCTAAGTTCTACTTGGATTCTCATTATATATGTATTCTAGAGACAATGTCAAGTATCTTGAAAAGAAAACCAAGCTGAATCTTTATTTATTTACTTTGGAAAATGACAAAAAAACAAAGGAATTCTAATGATAGAAAAATTTCAAATTGCAAGTGTTCTAAGGCCTTGGCAACTCTTTGCCCTCATTATCTTTAAGCCGATAAGCCCCATTACCCAGTATCGAGATTATTCTGTAGGGTCCTTTCCAATTTGGGCCAAGCTTCCCCTCTCTGGGATCTTTTTTGTTGCCGACGACTTTTCTCAAGACCAGGTCGCCGACTTAGAACTCCCTTGGGTTAACCCTTTTGTTATAAGCTCTGGCAAGCTGCTGTTGGTATGCTGCGAGCTGAATCACAACTTTCTCCCTTCGTTCTTCTAGAAGATCCAGATCTCGAACTAAGGGTACATCATTAGTTCCGTTCTTTACTCCCTGGGTTCTGATTCCTGGGATGCCGACCTCCAACGGAATAACTGCTTCTGTGCCATAAGCCATGGCAAAGGGGGATTCCCCTATTGATCTTCTCGGCGTAGTCCGATATGCCCAGAGCACATTGGGCAGCTCGTCCACCCACTTTCCTTTTGCTGCCTGCAGCCTCTTTTTTATCTCGTCCAGAATTACTTTGTTGGATGCTTCTGCTTGTCCATTGCTTTGGGGAAAGCTTGGTGTTGAAAAGTAGTTCTTGATCTTGAACTTTGCACAGAAGCTCTTAATTAGCTTACTGTCAAATTGTGTTCCATTGTCTGCAACTATTGCTCTTGGAATCCTAAATCTGGTGATGATATTTTTCCAAATGAATTTCTTTACATCCACATCTCGGATTTTGGCAAGGGGTTCAGCTTCTATCCACTTAGTGAAGTAATCAGTTGCCACCAGCAAGTACTTTCTTTGCCTAGCTGCTTGGGGTAGTTGCCCAACGAGATCCATGCCCCATTGGGCAAATGGCCAAGGACTGGATACAGAGTTCAGGTCTGCTGCTAGTTGGTGTATTAGTGGTGCGAATCTCTGGCACTTTTCACATTTCTTCACATATGCTTCTGCGTCTTTCTGCATATAGGGCCACCAATACCCCTGGGTAATGGCCCTATGGGCAAGTGATCTGCCTCCAGAGTGGCTTCCACAAATTCCTTCATGAATTTCATATAAAAAATCTTCAACTTGTGAAAGATGTACACACCTCAAAAGGGGTCCAGTGAAGGATCTTCTGTAGAGGTGTCCCTCTGCTGTCAGACTGAATCTTGCCGACTTCAATATGATCTTGTGTGCCTCCTTGTGGTCGTCTGGCAGCTTTCCTTCTTTCAAGAATGTAACAATTGCGTCTATCCAGCTTGGTCCCATGTCCACGCACATCGCTTCGCGCTCTGTGGTCAGTGGTTCGATGCTCGGGCCCGACAGGTAATCAACCATTATGGTCCTTGTTTTTCCAGGTTGTACCACACTAGCTAGGTTAGCCAACGCATCGGCGTGGTTGTTATCGTCTCGGCTTACCCGAAGTAGTCAGCAGTTCTGAAACAAGGCTGACAACCTGATGACCTCCTTTGTGTAGGCCGACATTCGTTCATCTCGGGCTGCAAACTCGCATGTTGTCTGATTAACTATCAGTTGTGAATCACAAAAAACTATTACCTTATCTGCTTGCACTGCTGCTGCCAACTTCAGCCCTGCAATGAGTGCTTTATATTCTGCTTCATTGTTTGAGGCCTTGAACCCCAAACGAATCGATTATTCTATTATCCGCCCATCTGGAGATATCAAAACTATTCCTGCCCCCGCTCCCTGTCGGTTGGAACTCCCATCAACGAACAGTCGAAAGGAGTCGCCGATGTAAATGCTGCAGGGTTTGAGTTTTTCTTCTTTCTTTTGTTCTTTCGCCTTTACCTGGGCTTCTCCTTGCTTGTTTGGATATCGTTCATCTTGGCTCAACGGAGCTCGATGTACGATGGATTCTGGCGTGAACTCGGCCACGAAGTCGGCCAGAACCTAGCCTTTGATTGCTGTCCTTGGCCTGTACTCCAGGTCATACTGGCCTAGGGTGACTGCCCACCTGGCTATTCTTCTTGTCAGGTCTCCTTGTTGCAGTAAGGACTTCAAGGGGTGTTCTGTTAGCACCACAATTTTATGGGCCTGGAAGTAATGGTTCAACTTCTTTGAAGCCATTACCAAACCTAATGCCAATTTTTCTAAGGGTAGATACCTGGTTTCTACATCGGCTAGGGTTTTGCTTACATAGTAAACAACCCTTTGTTCCCCTTTGTCTTCTCGGACTACTACTGCGCTTATCGCATGCTCTGAAGCGGCTATGTATAAAAACAGCTCCTCTCTAGGTTCTGGATTTGAAAAGACTGGAGCTGTGGCTAGATACTTCTTTAGGTCGGCCAAAGCGGCCTTGCATTCTTCGGTCCACAGGAAGTCTGTGACTTTCTTCACTAAGTTGAAGAAAGGTCTGCACTTGTCTGAGTTTTTGCTGATGAATCTATTCAGGGCTGCGGCCCTTCCAGTTAGCATTTGCACCTGTTTTGCCGATGTCGGGCTCGTCAAATCCAGTATGGCCTTGATCTGATCTGGGCTAGCCTCTATGCCCTTTCTAGTCACCAGGTATCCCTAAAACTTACCAGATCCAACTCCAAATGCACACTTCGAGGCATTGAGTCGGAGCCGATATGTCTTAAGGATTTCAAATACTTCTATGAGGTCAGCCAGATGTCCTTCGGGTTCCTTGGTCTTCACGTCCATGTCGTCAATGTAGACTTCCATCGTTCTGCCAATTAGATGTTTGAACATCTTGGTTACCAACCTTTGGTAAGTCGCTCCTGCGTTTTTCAACCCAAAAGGCATCACTCTATAGCAGTACAGTCCTTTTGGGGTGATAAACGCAGTCTTCTCTTCATCTGGGGGGTACATGGCTATTTGGTGGTACCCTCTGTAGGCATCCAGGAAGCTCATCCTTCTATGCCCTGAAGTGACGTCTACTAGCTGGTCAATTTTAAGTAGAGAAAAGCTGTCTTTGGGACAGGCTTTGTTTAAACTGGTAAGGTCTACACAGACCCTCCATTTACCGTTCTTCTTCTTCACCACTACTGTGTTTGATAGCCATATCGGGTAATTTACCTCTCGAATAGCCCTGGTCTCGAAAAGTCTGTCTACTTCTTCTTCCACTGCTTCGACGTGTACCATTGTCGGTCTTCTTGCTCGTTGAATTACAGGTTTGGCCGACCTGTCAACGTTCAGCTTATGGCAAGTGACCTCAGGGTCAATGCCTGACATTTCGTAAGGCGTCCACACGAACACCTCAATGTTTGCTCTCAAAAAAGCTTCCAATTCTTTTTCTTCTTCTTCGACTAAGCCCGAGCCGAGAAGAAAGAAGCGTTCTTCATCCCCTTCTTGGACGAGGATTTTCTTCAGTGTTTCTTCACTCTTCTCGGCTGGCTGCTTGTCGACATTTTCTAGGATCTCCACGTCCTCGTCTTCGATCTCTGCTTTTTCTAGTTCTCGAATGCTGCAGGTGGATTTCATTACTGCCATGGAGCAATTTTTTGCCTGTAGCTGATCTCCTCTGATCTCTTCAATCCCATGCTCTGTTGGGAACCGCAATAATTGATGCAGTATTGAGGGAACAACCCCCATTGCATATAACCATGGCCTTCCCAAGAGGATGTTGTAAGGGGAGGGTGTGTCAATTACGGAGATCTCTATTGTTACCTTCCTGGTGCCCGCCTGCACCTCCAAGCTAGTTGTTCCCAGTGGCCATGTCAGTGTTCCATTGAACCCGACCATTGGGCTATTGGATTGCTTCATATCGTCTGGGTGAAGGCCGAGCTCCTTGTAACATTGAACGTACATGATGTCGTAAGAGCTGCCTTGGTCAATCAAGATGCGTTTTACTTGGCATTCTCCAACCTGGAGGGATACTACCAAGGCATCATTATGCGGATGCTGTACCATCTCAAGGTCAGCTTCTAAAAAGGACACTACTGGTCCTTGGCGCTCCTCTGCCCGATGTCTCTTCATCCCGACTTGGTAGACATGTTGCAGGTGCTTCACCTTCTAGGTCTTCCCCCTAATTTCGTTCTCGTTGACCTTCGAGTGAATCACATTGATTACCCGAGGTCCTTCTGCCTGAGGTTGTGGTGCTGGGGGAGGCGGAGCTGCTGGCGCCTGAGGCAATCTTGCCTGTTCTTCCCTTGTCTTGGCCTCATCAATGAGGTCTCTCAGATGGCCTTGCCTCACCAGTTCTTCCAAGTGTGTTTTCAGGGCTCTACTACCCTGAGTCGTGTGCCCATCTTCATTGTGGTAAGCACAATGTCTGCCAACGTTCCTTCCCATAAACTCTCCTGGTGCCTTTGTTGGTGTTCTAAAATAGGGTTGGTTCCGAATCCGGTCCAGGACTTTGGGAATCGGGATTCGGAACACAGTTGTTACTACCTGTGTGGCCTTCAGTTCTGTTTCTTGTTTGTTTGATCCATTGTTACCTCGGCCTCGCTTTGGCAAGCCGTTTTCTTTCTCTTGTTTTATCTCCTTAGTCCCCGACGTGTCTTCTTCGGCTATATGCTTCCCTTCAGTAGTTTGTGGAACCAATCTGATGCAATCTCCCCGAAGGATGAGGGGAACACTTTGTAGAGCAACGACTCATTCCCACTATATAATGCCATTGAGTTCAAATATAGTCCAACGTGGAAGTTAGGGTCTGACTTACCATCGTATATTTGAAATCTCGGCATACTGAATCTCTTCAACGTCTCAAACTTGTCTAATTCCACCGAGAATGGTGTCCTCGGCTTATCTGGGGAGGTTACCTCGGCGTAGGAATTCTGTTGCTTCCTCTTGAGGTAATCTCTTAAGTCCTCCTTTGTCCGCCCAGGAGCTTGGCTTTCTCCTGCTTTTAGTCTTTTTGGTGCACTATTTTCAGCTTCGTGGTGAGTCCTTTTCAACCCTTTTCCATGAGTTGTGTTGAAGCATAGTTCCTGCCCCTGAACATGCCGATGTCTTTTGGGGTCTGCCTCCTTTGTGCGATGCGTCCTCCGTGATTCTTCTCTTCTTGACTCTCTTCGTCCAACTTCCCTAGAAGGTCGGCGAGAGTATTTTTCGCTCCCGTTGTACTGAGGGGCTACGGGGATTGTTTTCTGCTCTCCCTTCTGGGCATTGGCCGCTGGAATCGGTGTGTCCTGCAGCGGGAACGGTGGCTGCATGATGTTATTTTGCATCATGAAATTGACGACCGACTGCAAGTCTGCCAATTTGTTTGCTATCTCTTTTACCTTTTCGTCCCTCCGCAGGTACCTATCCTTCCATACCTGGAGGCCGTTCTCGTTGTAGTATCCACTTCGATCTAGTTTCTTTGGTGCGTCGCCAGTCTGGCCGACGTCTTTCACTCCGTGATTCTGGTCACGAGTTTCTGCGTTGCATTCGTCTCTTGTGATATCAAGGTCAATAGGTCTCCCACTCCCAGCAGGAGTGTCGTCCTCAATTTTTTCCTTTTGTCCGTTACTGGCCATCTATTCTCCTTTCTTTCCCACAGACGGCGCCAAATTGTGTGAGTGATTTTTCGATCACACTGCCTTACTCAGTATTCAGCTGGAGAACACTGGCAGAATAGATGACACCTGGCTAACCTGCAACAGAAAGAGAAGATTCCGGCAGTAGTTCGTCCACCCGGGGGCACTCCGACGATCAAGTCAGTATATCTCTCAAAGATGATATCAAGGTCAATAGGTCTCCCACTCCCAGCAGGAGTGTCGTCCTCAATTTTTTCCTTTTGTCCGTTACTGGCCATCTATTCTCCTTTCTTTCCCACAGACGGCGCCAAATTGTGTGAGTGATTTTTCGATCACACTGCCCAACTCAGTATTCAGCTGGAGAACACTGGCAGAATAGATGACACCTGGCTAACTTGTAATAGAAAGAGAAGATTCCAGTAGTAGTTCGTCCACCCGGGGGCACTCCGACGATCAAATCAGTATATCTCTCAAAGA